TTTTTTTTTTTACTAGGTTTTAAGGTTTAATAAACCGCTAGCATTATTAAAAAATTATTAAACTATTATTTAATTATTACTAGTTACCTATAGCTTTAAAAAGGGGTATAAGATTTTTTATTTTATAAAATTTTAAAATTATACCTAAGGTTATAAGTAAAGTAATTACCTTTTTTATTTTTTTATAAAATTTTAAAATTTAATAAATTATAGCTAGATTACCGCTGGCTTAATATTAAAACTTATTTTAAATTATAATTTAAAATAAAAAACTATATTTATATTAAAGTTAAAGTATTAAAAAAAAAAATCTTTTATTTTTTTTTAAAAAAAAAAAAATAATAACTAACTACRCGGCAAGGCTATAATAAAAAACCACTATTTAATATTAGGAGTAGGAGCAGGGGCCTTTTTAGGTATTCTTTTTTTATACCTAGTATTTTTTAAAAAAAAGGCGTGACAGGCTTATTTTTTAAAAAAAAAATATTAATAAACTAGTAGCTATCCCAGCTATTATTAAAATAGGCTAGGGGCTATTTAATAATAAGCTAAAAAAATTAAATAAGCTCCTAAATAACTAAAGCTAAAACCTTTATTACACGGACCTTAGGGCTTATTTTTTTTAATAGGCCTTTATTATTAGTTTAACCTAGTAAGTAAACGCGTTTTAATAATAAAGGTATTTATTATAATTACTAAGGTTTATTTATTATAAAAAGATAATATTTTTTTTTATATAAAATAACAAGGGGAGGCAAGTACCCTTATTATAAATATAATAAAAGTAATTACACCCGGGGGCTAGATAAATATAGTTATTAAAATTATTAATTAATTTATTATTTTTATATACTTAAATATACTTTGCACACTATAAGCAAACCTATTTTTTATTAACTAATATTTATATTAAAGCTATTTTATTATTAAACTAGTTAAAAACAGGGTATACTTATAAAAAAAAAAGGCTAGAGGCTAAAAAAAAAGCCTAAAAGGGTGGTAATATAAAACTTATAGCAAGGGTATTAATAATAGTAATAGCTAGCATAATATAAAATAAAGTAAAAAAAGGTAAGCTAAAAGGCATGGGGGCTATAATTAAATAATAAAATAGTTATTATAAAATTAAAAGTTAGTATATTTAATAAAGTGCTAGTAAAGCGCCACTAGTTAGTAGCTATTAAAATAAGAAAAACTTATTAAATTATTACTTATAACCTTGCTATATATTTTAAAGGCGCTTATTAAATATAAGTTATACTAGTTACCGCCTAAAAACTAATTAAAATTAAAGTTTTTAAACTTAATAAAAAATAAATACTAAAAAAAAATTAGGAACACCAAGGGCTTTTAAAATTAATAAAAATATTATATTAAAGGGGTTTTATAACCATACTACTATAAAAGTTTAAGAGGCGGAGGCAGGAATATTTTAAATTATTATAGTTATAGTAAGGCGCTTTTTTTTTACTTATTAAAAAGCCAGGGTAGCGCCCGAAAGGGCTTTTTTTTAATTATAATAAAAAAAAAATAACTTTTTATTTAATAAAAAGTTTAATAAGTTTAGGAATTTATAAAACTATAAACTATGTTATAATTTATACTTTTATACCAAGCATTATTAAAGCGCCGCCTTTCCCCTTTTAATTATAAATAAATATTATATTTTATTTAAAGCGCTATAAATAATAAAAATAAAACACTAAATTTAATATATTAAATAATACTTTAATAAGATTAAAAATAGTAATAATAAAGCTATATTTAGTATTAATATTAATAATAATAATAGTATTTTATTATTATTTTTTTTTAATTTAGCAGTGGGTCGCGGACAACCCTTTAATTAAAAAAAAAAAATTATTAAAATTAATATCTTTTTATTTAATATTACTAGAGCTAATTTATTATTAATTTAAAGTTAGCGCCTAAGCTTTAGCTTTAGGCTGCTAAGGCTTGGCATACCTTATTACTATATTAGGCTATATAACTTAACTAAATTATTAATATTTAGGGTCTTGGTTACTAATTAGGCAAGGCTAAAATAAGTCTTAAATATAAGCTAGAGTAAGAACCCATGCGTAAAGTATTTAAACCTATATTTACTTTTTAGTTAGGAATAGCTTAAGCGTAGCTTAAAGGTTTATAAAAATAGCCTTAAAACTAGCCTTTTTTTTAAATTTTTAAGTAACTTTTTTAGTGTTATCCAGCGGGGTTTAGAATACTTTATTTTTATTAATTAGATTTCTTTGTCAATATCTTCATTGTTAGTAGAGATCTCCGAGACTTGTCGGTCTTACAGCCACAACAAAACCAGGCACGTATTTCTATACACACCCCAGCCAGGTAAGCCCTCCACCTTAGTACCAAGCCAAATTCTATGCTAATAGACCTCTGAATAGTTTCGCAAATACAGGTACATTGATTTGTATGCGTTTTTCTATAGAAAACCGAGTACCAGCACGTCAACGGCCTCACCAACGCGCTGACGGCCTTGCCAACGCGTTGATGGCCTTATTCCTAGCCAAACACCACGCGGATAGACCTCTAAATAGCTTTATAAATATAGGTACTTTAATTTATATATAATTTTTTATAAAAAGCTAAGTACTAGCATGTTAATAGCCTTGCTAGCATGTTAATAGCCTTATTTTTAGCTAAATATTATATAAATAAACCTTTAAATAGCTTTATAAATATAGGTACTTTAATTTATATATAATTTTTTATAAAAAGCCAAGTACTAGCATGTTAATAGCCTTACTAATATATTAATAATTTTATTTTTAACTAAGTATTATATAAAAAGGCCTTTAAATAGCTTTATAAATATAAGTACTTTAATTTATATATTATTTTTTATAAAAAACTAGGTACTAGCGCGTTAATAGCCTTTAATATTAATTTATAATTAAAAAATATATTTACTACGCCTTAAAATAACTTTAAAAATAAGTTTTTAAAAATTTTTATTATTAAATTTGCTAATAAGGTACGGGTATATTAATTTATATAAAAAAGCTTATATAAATTAATATACTTATACCTTAATATAAACTTAATAATTTTTAAGTAAGTGTACCCTAAAGGCCTTTATTTATATTTATATATTATTTACTATATAAATTAAAATAGCTTAATTACACAAGCACGTGAGGCACTAAAACTCATTCCAACACTAAATGTGTCGGCAGTATACAAATACCCTGGCGGACGCAGGGGAGTGGGGCCGCTCCGCCCCCAACTCTCTTTCACCCGCCACCATTGGCTGAACCACCAGGCCGTCCCGCCCGTAAACCCTAATTTTCGTCTACCAATTTTTCCAAGACTAGCGATTCCACCGCGCTCTCTATATACCCATCACGCTCCAGACCCAGAATCCACTGGCCGGTTGGTGTAGTTGGTTATCACGTATCGTTAACACCGATAAGGTCGCCGGATCGAGCCCGGCACTGGTCATGACTTGTCTCCTGGACCTTGCTCCAGGTTTCTTTTTTCGTAGCCCGGCGTGACTATGTGGTATGCGCCTCCGCTATACGGCGGTCCTAAGCCTAAGCCTAAGCCCAAGTCCAATCTTTTTGACCCAAGCAACCGTGCAAGCCTGTAATACTAATCACCGAAGCCCGCGCCAAAGGCCAGAAAGCCCAGTATAACACCCACAGACTCGGCAAACTCCACAAAGGGTTCCGAGCGGCGCTGCTCAGGCCTCACCTCCGAGCTCCGGGCCAACTCGTCCGTCGCTACTGTAATCGGGGCGCAGTCCCAGTGCCATTGCCAATCCCAGGGCCCGACAATGCTCATCCGAACTATCCACGCCAAGCCCCATCGCCTCCCGCTCCTTCACCCCTGCTGCAGATGCACAAGGAAGCCGCTTTCATCGATCATGTGCAGAGGGTTGCAGCTGATCATCCCGGCGGAATGAATGGTATCCGCATTCGCAAGCTGCAGATACATGAGTCGCAGCGTCCAGCCGAATATGACGCCCGTCGGATATGGAGGTATGCTGCAGTGCCACGCATGGCGTGTCGACGGTCTGCGTTCGGAGAAAAGGGAGTCCGCTGCTGCGATGGCGCAGAAGAAAGACAGTATTGCGGCTTGGGTACGGCAAGGCGTGGCTATCGTGTCTGTGTCTGAATGGCGTTGGTGCAGGCCTGGTCGATGAAGCCGGAGACCGCACGCAGTCTACCGACTTCTTTAGCCCTACCGTAATCCGAGACGGGAATCGGATTTGCTCGAGTGCAGATGGGTCACGCCGCAGTGTTATCAACTTATCACTTTCATAGAGGATCACCAAGCTAGGGCTGCCTTATAGTAAGACAGCTTGCTTTAGTTCATCTGATATTCAGTGACTTGGCATGTGCCTAGACAAGTGGCGGCCGGGAAAATTCGGCCCACCCATGGCCGGTTGGCCTAATGGTAAGGCGTGGCTCTCCTAGGTATGGTACAGTACCGTAATAGCTACGAGTAAACGCTCCTAGCTTGCTAGCGAAGCCAAGATTGTGGGTTCGAGTCCCATATCGGTCGTATTCTTTCTTTTTTTTTTTGTCTTTATAATTCTGATGCAGTGATGTGTAGCACATATGTGTTTTCTGGATAATAGAATATGTATGCTAGATACAAGATACAGAGAGGTAAGATAGATATCAAAATGATCCAAGGCATCGAGGGTAGAATCTGTGGTAAGGTTGATTGATACACCCTATAAACCTCAAGACTGACTATACGTCCCGCGGTCGCAACACCAGGAATCACCGAGGTTTAGTATGTTTGCGCTTGCGAAAGCACTGAACCAACAGGAGATCGTGTCTGATGTTTTTGGTACAGTATATTCATGGTGAAGGATGCCCTAATTTGGTGTGATCGGACCCACAAAGTGAAGTCCATGATTCGCAGACCCAACGACCCGATCCAGCTCACATTTGAAAATTATACAGTCCCGACACATTATTTCTTGTAATGACTGTAGCATGGAAGCAGTGTAGTAGCTATAATAATCAAATCTGTAGCGTAACATAGCCAGACGAATATGGCCCTAGAGCCAGTTTTAACAGCTTCGAGACCAACGTGGTTTGCAGAGATGTAGTCCGTTAGATCCAGTACAACAGTCGTCCCACTAAATGCTATAGGTACGCAGGCACCCCATTGATCAATCATGCACCCCGTCAATACAATATGTAAAGAATCAATCAAAAGGCCAATGCCGCTTATACTCAGCCCTCTCCTCATCACTCTCAGCCAACTGATCCAATATCATATCTTTAACTTCGCGCAGAGCAGCTCTGCACTCATCGTAACACTCATGCTCGATAAACCCCTTATCCGGCCACAAATCGCCCAGATGCTCCTTAACCTGCGCAATGAGCTCGGTTCCCGCCACTGCCCCATCACTATCGCGCTTAATTCGCTCGATATCTGCTTCGGAAAAGTCAAACGGAAATGCGGTGTTGCTGGTGCCGCTAATGGCTGGAAGATCCGCCCAAGTATCCTTCAGGTCAACGAGAAGCGACTGGAAGTGCGCCTCGCCGTACTCGAAGACCCGGTGCGCAAGGAAGAGCAGTCCGTACGCTGGCGTCTTTCGAAATTCAACAACACGGTAGAGCTCAGCGTTCTTGGCGGCCATGAGTTTCCGCCACCCGATAAACACGTTTTGCAGCGTATACTCCTGCACAGCTGCGGAGCGTTCTGCGGCCGAAAGACCTGAGAGGGCTGGCCGTGGTGCCAGGTCAAGCGTCTCGGGCTCGAGGCCGTCCCAGGCCAGGAAGGCTGGATCAGGATTATGGGTGAAGAGGGGCGAGATGTGGCAGGACTGCCAGTCGATGATGCCCGTAATATTTTCGGGATGTTGCGGGTCTACGAAGATGTTGTCGTCGTGTAAGTCGTTATGCCAGAGGGAGGGTTTGGTAATGGCTGGATTGGTTGGGATGAGGGCATCGAGGATCTGGGAGTACCATGTTAACGCAGTGAGTTTGTTTTCCTTGTTTGGTTGGTATAGCTTTGGGCCGCAGAGCAAGGCGGTTGTTTTGGGGGGTTGTAGGGACTGGATTGCCTTCCTCTCTCGTGCACCGACTGCTTGTAGATACTGTGTGAGAGAAGTCCCTGTAGACTTATCAGCGGGTGGACAAAAAGGACACGAAGCAACATACATGGCCCTTTCTCGACGTCCAAGCTTGATCGGCCTGCATCACACCAGTCCCGACCGGTAGCCGGGCCAATGGCAAACTCCGAATCTTTCACAGCCATGCCATCCTTGACGAAGTGGCTCCCTGCTGGTGGCTGTACGTCTTTCGTGTAATACAGGCTACCGTAGTGAGAGAATGAAACGCTCAGCCATTGCTTCTGGAGGCGCGTCATGGCAAGAAGCACCCGGAGTTTCTGCTGCAGTGTCATCGTGTCCCAGACTTGGGACAGCGGAACACCTTGAGCTTTCTCCATGATGATAAACTCAGCGCCTACGGAGTGCGATTCGGCATGTGAGTTCCATGTGTATACACGGGGTGCCGGTGTACCCAGAACCTTTCTGGCCTCCCAAATCAGACATGTTAGCGAGATCGGTGTTGGTGGAGGGCAGAAGGAACCTACGAAGTCCATTGTAGCGACTTCACTGGCAGTAGTAAAGTGTGGAACGCCAGCGTTCGGATTGGGAACCTTGGCGACAACTTCTTGGCCATCGTCCATGGACATGAGGAATGCTTTGTTGTACATGCCATCCGGGTACTTCTTGATAGCAGTGCATCGAGCAGCTCCCACCGAGTCTGCTGCGACCCTTGCAAGGCTATTCATGTCGAATCTGATCTCCCGCTTTCGAAGATTCTCCACCTCATTGACAATGAAGCGACCACGTGTGAACTTGAAGAATTCATCGTTGGCATTCCAGTCTGATACGAATTGTCATGATCAGTGACAGGATGCATTGTGCTCCAACGGGCTTGCTTACTTATCTGAGAGGAGCCCATATCAATGCCCCCCGTACAGTGATATGTGGAAAAGGATGGAGCTTTTGAAATCAAGCGGCAATGCTGTTTCGGACTTGGTATTATACTGTGAGTGTAGAACCAAGGACGCACGGGTGGGGATCGGCCCATTTCGCGCGGGTATAACCGTATAAAGCAATGTCTTGATCAAATTAACCTCCCAGAAGTCTAGGAGCACGCAATATCACAGACATCAGGACACAGAGATCCAAGCGGGGAGAAGGAAGAGGAAAAGCAATCCAGGGGATGCCAATGATGATGTTAGGTGGCAGGACAAGGGGAAGGTGATACGGTATGGCCCCCACGTGACGAGGCAAACCATACGGTATGGATGGGTCAAAAATACGGTACCGTAACTATGGGGTTACAAGGTATAATTTCCAGCTCTTGTAGTTCTTGCTCTGGGGGAGACGTAAAAAAATATGCATCTTGCGTTCTTGACTTGAATAACAATCTTGCGGCGATGGAAATATGCTACAACTCATATTTGAATGATAATACCCGGATTAATGTGGTATAGGAGTCAGGCCTAAGTGACTTAGGATACGGCGTGGAAGCAAAGTTGATGTTATTTGTGCCCTCCAACCTTGTGATTGCCAGACTAGGAAATAGAGGATGAAGACCGGGATACGTTTATTTTCATGAATATTGTTCAAACCTCTACTGGAGGTGATGATAGGTACGGGCAACATACTACCTAAATAGACATACTAACTGTGAAGGCTGAGGCCCGTTTTCCATGGCATAGGGCTCCAAACAAACGTGATTCTCGGGTGGCATTAACCCCCTTCCAGATGGTGATTCATGCCTTGCAAAGCCTACAAAGGCAGCTAGACGCTATAATACTTGTCCTAGGAGGCTACGAGAATGGATTCCTCCTAAACCAAACAGAGTTCGTAGCCCGAAACAAAAAGAGAATGCTGAACCAACGGAACAAATATGGCCATGGATGGTACCTATGATCCACAGTCCATGAACAAAAAATGACCAGTGCCGGGCTCGATCCGGCGACCTTATCGGGTTTAACAATAGGTGTTAACGATACGTGATAACCAACTACACCAACCGGCCAATGATTGGTTGATTCATTAATTTTTAGCTCTATAAGCTTGCCAACAGAAACGGGTGTATTGTTCTTTTTGAGGGTGGTTCTGTCTGAGGAGGGACCTTCTCGATCCGCCACCTTATGGTAGCGAACTTCATCCGCAATTACAAACACAATGCTGTAAGCTCAGTCCCGATGTTAGGATCATGGTGCAAATATCTCACCGAGGGGCCGGGTAGCCTCAGAGGTGAGTCACTTGACAGAAGTCGGAGAAAACCGGATCGCCCTACCAGCCCCCTTCATGTTTATAAATCGTCTGAACCTGGAAAGCACCCTGGACTACATATGGTAAGCGTCCCCAACTTCGAGCCTTGAATATTGCAGCTCACCTTCCATAGCTCCCTCTCCTCCAACAAATTAGCCCCTAATCATGTCTTCCCCAACGACCATCGGCCTCCGCATGGGCGGCGTCTCGAGCACCGTCTTCGCCACCCAAGGCGTCTTCCTGCTGGGAAATGCATTCTACAGCATTCTCTACCCATCGTCCGTAGCCACGTTCGAGGGCTCTTCGTTAACCGGGACGCCCGAGGGCGCTGTGCAATGTATTGGGTGGGCACCCGCATTCCATTCCCACAAACCTTAGGTACTCTGTACGTTGATTGCTAATCCTACGCCCATTAGCCTGACTTCTCTCGCTCTGGGGACATACTACCTCATCTCCAGCTACCAGCGACACACAGCTATCATGGTCTCGTCTGTGCCGTCACGGCTGCTGGCTGCTTGGGTTATGCATCGGAATGGCGGGAATTGGACCAGGGTTGCGGGGTTCGAGGCTGCTATGGCTGTTGTGGCTGGTGCGGCGCTGATTTGGGATTGGTATGTGTAGATATAGGGCGATTGGTCCTGTTGAGGTGTACTGTATAGATACTTTATCGACTTGCGAAACCATTGATATGGGCTGTTGGCAACTTATAGAGTAGTATGCAACAGCAGAGAGAAAAGCAACCTTATCTGCAAAGGAACTCGATACTGCGCTCATTTCTGACACTGGACAGATGGAATTCTGGCATAGGGTATGTAATGGGAGTGTGCGGCGGACTTGAAGTTAGATTGAGGCTGAAATAGAAAGTTGGGGTTGTGCTCAGTTATCGTAACAAACAATTATAAATAAATCATATATTTATTCCTTGCAACTACTCATGAAAAACATTGTACCTTTGCAATATATATTATCTCACCCGACCTGATTGATTATCACTTTGATAATCTACCGGTTCCTAACCCTGCATGTTTAGTCTTTACCATTAGGTAGAGTACACCACTCGCTGCTGTGCATAAGAGTATTAAATCAGCATTGCATGAACCCCATTATACTATTGCTAGGCCACTCACAATATATACCGTAACTTCATCTCGCTCGCGTTGTTGTATTGGACAGGACCTCGATCTCTCAAATTGGATGGTTTCGTTTGATCCGCCAACCAGAGGCAATAAAAAGAGCAACTGAACTCTCTAACAAAGCAAAGCTAATTGGACCTGATTATAATCAGGAACAACCTTTGGTCCAGTCTTCCCCGCATCTGTCATTGAGATCCGCCACCCCAGACCCTTCGATCATCGGGTGTCGATATTAGCTCCGCATCAATCGTCTATAAATTTCTTGATAATGAATAACCTTGGAAAGATAATATACCAAGAGTCGTACGTGAAAAAGCATCGACCTTCCAATTCGCTATGTACTACCTACATCTCTGTAGCCGTTTTCCTTTTCGCAAGATTCAACCACGTCATCATGACCCCGAGCACCACCAACACCCCTGCCAACACCAGCAAATCCAAACATGCAACGTAAGACCTCGCTCAGCTCGGCCCTCACCGAGAAACCCAACATGTTTAATCTCCCGCTCTCCAGCCTTTCGGCTCAGATCGTTGACACCCCGTCTGTGCTGCCGTGAGTGATGCGTGCCCTCCAGCTGGGTACCCCTTCATCCCACCAGCCCTCGAGTCACTACCATCATACCCGACCTATACAGTTCTAAGCCACATCCGCCGCCAGCAACCAGCAGTCTCCAACAACCAGAGACACCCACTCACCACGATGTCACACCACCCCTCCCTAGACGCCCCAATCCAAACCCACAAGCACTTCCTCCAAACATCCGGCCTCACCTCCCCCGTCTGGACACACACGCACCCACCCAATTCATACCCGTCCTTCCCCTCATTAAACAAAAACATCACCTCCCCTTCCGGAATCACCATAATCGGCGCCGGCATCGCCGGAATCCACACAGCCTACGAGCTCATCACGCGCGGGCACCCCGTCACCCTCCTCGAAGCGCGGCATATCCTCTCCGGCGAGTCCGGGCGGACAAGCGGGCATCTCTCGAGCGCAGTGGATGACGGGTATATCCATATCGCGTCGAAACACGGGAAAGAGGGCGCGAGCCTCGCGGCGGAGAGTCACGCGTGGGCGATTGCACGGGTTGAGAACATAGCCCAGGAGCTTGGGATTGATGGGATGGGGTGCGATGTGCGGGGGTTGAATGCGTATCGGGTTCCGCATGTACCGGCGAATGAACGCGGGTACGGGGAGGAGATTGCGCAGCTGAGGAAGGAAGTGCAAGCTGCGAGGGAAGCCGGCGTGGATGCGGAGTTTGTGGAGGGGCTGAGGATTAAGGGCTGGGATGGAGTGGGAATGGGAGCGACCGACGGCGTGGTCTTCCACTCACAGGCGACGTTCCATCCGACGAGGTACCTGTCCGCCGTACTGGGCTGGCTAAAAGAACAGCCCCAATTCGAGTGTTTCGTCAACACGCGCGTGACAGAGATCGACGAGAAGAGCAGCCACCTCCACCTCCATAGCCAAGGGGGCGTGAAACTCGCCACAGACCGCGGGTATACCGTCTTCACAGGCACAGTGATCGAAGCCACCAACATCCCGCTGCAGAAACTCTCCATCGTAGCCGAGATGGCCTACTACCGAACGTACTGCATCGCAATGCGGATCCCCAAGGGGTCCGTCGAAGACTGTCTAATCTACGACACAGCCACGCCATACAAATACACCCGCATAACACCCTGCGACGACGCAGACGACTACCTCGTGATCGGCGGGTGCGACCACAAAGTAGGCCAAGAAGACAAGCGCGACCGATTCGGGGAGCTCGAGAAATGGACACGAGCGCGCGTTCCATCAGCCGGTAAAACCGACTTCGCGTGGAGCGGCCAGATCCTCGAGCCGCTGGACGCCATGGCCTTCATCGGGAGAAACCAGGGGAGTCAGCATACGTACGTGGTCACCGGCGACAGCGGCAACGGGCTCACGCACGGCGTGCTGGCAGGCAAAGTGATAGCAGACGAGATCGAGGGGCGCGAGAATCCCTGGGCTGTGCTGTACAACCCGCGGCGGATGCATAGTATCCGGAAGAGCCTGACGGGGATGCTGCGGCATGATGCCAATGTGAATGCGCAGTATAAGCGCTGGGTGCGGAGTGATGTGTCTGATATCGAGGATATAGCGCCTGGGGCGGGGGGTGTGCTGCATGAGAGCGGGAAGGGGAAGGGCAAGGGGAAGCCGGTTGCGGTGTATAGGGATAGCGAAGGGGGGGTGCATCGGCTGAGCGCGGTGTGTCCGCATATGAAGGGGGTTGTGTGCTGGAATGGGACGGAGAAGAGCTGGGATTGTCCGGTGCATGGGAGTCGGTTTAGTGGCGAGGGCATGTGTGTGCAGGGCCCGGCGAGGGGGGATTTGGCGGTTATAACTTAGGGCATGGGAGGTATAGTTGGTGCAGTTGGAGGTATTATCACCCACTGTATATGCTTAGCTCCGTTTTTATAGTTATATAGTTCTTGATTTAACTGTAGTTTACCACCTTTTCCCGCACCCTAATAAAATATATATTAATTTTACTAGCTTTTATTACTTCTTTTTATACGCCTTTTAAATATATATATTTATTTTAATACTTATATATTTAGTATATATACCTTGTGTGGTTTCCTAGGTTTAACTATACTTAGTATTTATTAATACTTTACTTTTTTTTTTATATTTATATAACTTTTTTAATTTTAGTACCTTAAAGCTTAAAATTAGCACTTTATACTTTTTAAATATTACTTAATACCTAGTTAAAATTTAGTTTTAATTAATTTTTATAAATATAAAATAGGTAAATTTACAGGCCTAGTTTATATAAGGTTTTTTTTATTACTACCTTTACCTTATATAAACTAGGCCTTTTAAAATAACTTTTATATACTTAAATATTTACACCCACATTTCCTATTATTAAGGGGTTAGTAAAAATATAAAAGTAAATAGTTAAAATACTATATATAAAAAATAATATACCTAGTTACTAAATTATTATTACTACCCCTTATATATTCCTATTTTTATACTTAATATACTATTTTAGGTAGTTTTTTTACTAGTAGGCCTTTTAAGTAATACTAAAAATATTTATATTAGGTAGTAATTATATACTATTAGCCTTTAATATTTAATATTTTTATATGCTTTTATATTACCCGTGGCCCTATTAAGGTTAGCTTATTAAGTAATATTAAAAAGCCCTTTATAAATACACCTTTTAAGTAATATTAAAAGTAACTATCTTAATTAGTCCCTGTGTTTTAATAGCCTTTTATTTTTAATTTTTATATTTTTTTATATTACCTATAATACTCCTAGGTTAGCTTACTAAGTAATATTAAAAAAGCTAGGGTTTTTAATAATTTTATATATATAATATTATACTAGGTATAATTTAAATATTTTAATATATTATAGCATGGGGGGGTAGCCATAAAATTTAATTTAATTATAGCTACTATTTTTTAGGTTAAAACTAGAATAGGCTAACCAGGTATAAAATATAATATTAATAAGGTTATTTATAACCTAGGGTGCTATAAGTAGTACCTATTTATACTTTATTTTTTAAATATATTATTAAAAAAGTAATAACTACGCAAAGTTATAATTCTAAAAGTTTTTTTATAAAGGCCTGGGTTTTAATATAGGCTTATACCTGTTTACCTGCTTAATTTACCTATTTAATTTACCTGCTTATGGCCTTTGGGCCCCTACGCGTAAGTGGTTACTATTTTAGGTAGCTTTATAATTAATATATTTTAAATTAGTAATCCCTAGGGTATTAAATATTATTATTACTATTATTATAAAATGCAAGTATAAGCCTATAAAATATTTTACTTTTTTTAAATATTTTACGTCCGCCCTTAAAAAAGTATTTTTTAATTTTTTTTTTAACTTAGAAGCTAGAAATACCCTACTTAGTAACCTTAATAATCCTAACTTTAATAATTTTAACTTTAATAATACTTTTATACCTGGGAGTATCCTGCTTTTCTTAAATATTTTATATTTACTTTTAAAAAAGTATTTTCTTAATTCCTTTTTTAACTTAAAAGCTAAAAATACCCTACCTAGTAACTTTAATAATCCTAACTTTAATAATCTTAATTTTAATAATACTTTTATGCCTGCTACAGGCCTCGCGCGCTAAATATTACTTAAATAATAATAAAGTTTTATAGGTCCCCGGTAGTAATAATTTAGGTTTTAGGTAAAATCCTTAAGTTAAACTTTAGCATACTTTTTACTACTAAAAACCTGGCCTAAAATAGTATTTTAATAAAAGTAAGCTAACCTAACTACCCTATTAATAGTATTTACTAAAAATCTAGTCTTTAAATATAAAACTATGCTACCTATAAGGTAAATCCTATTAAAATTATTAAATACCTAGGGGTATGCCTGCCTGTTTTTAATAATAATTATAAAAGCTAGCTAAATAAGTATACCCCTTAAAATTATTAAGTACTTGGTGCTAGTAAGTTTACTAATATTAAAGTTACTAAAATATTAATAACCTATATTTAGCTACCTACTATTATTTACTTACTTAATTTACTTATTTATAGCCCTTTAGTCTTTAACCTATAAGTTATATCCCTATTTTATAAGTTTATACGCTAAGTATAATAGTTTAAAAAATTAAGTATAATTTTAAAATATTTCCTACTTTTTATAAAAGGTATTATACCCTAAATTAATATAAGTTAGGCTATAAGTAAGTTAGCTACCTTATTTTACTTAGTATAGTATTAATTAGTGCTAAAATGGGCTTATAATAAAATATACTAAAAATAAATAGTTACTACGCTAGGGGGTAAATTTAGGGATGCAAGGGATAGTATATATTATACTTAGGTAGTAAAAAATAAAAAAAAAGCACTTGTGCTAGGATTAATTTAGTAATTTTATTAATATTAAAAATAAAACTAAATTAACTAACTATATTATTACTATTTTTTATTATATAATATAATTTTTAATTAATATTAGGGTTACCCTATAACATAAATAGCCTTAAAAATAATATATTATATAAACTTTAGCTTTTATTTTTAATTATAGCTATATTTACTACTTTTATATTTATTTAAGCCTTTTAATACTACTAGTGTATTTACCTTAGCCACTTTATCTTATTTAATTTTTTAACTATTTTTAAGTATTTATTTATATAAAACCTAAAAAGACCTTACCACGCCTGCCCTAACCATAGTTTTCCTATTTTTTAAAGGCTTTTTATACACTAGGCACTAAAGTTATAGCTTTATAAAGGGGGCTAGCCCCTTAATAATAGTATTAAACCCCTAAAAGTAATAAAAATATAGTATAAAGTTTAATAAAGTAATATAATAATTTTAATAAATTTACTTATTTAATATTATATTATTAAAAAGTACTGCCTTGGCCTGCCCCCTAATTTATATTATTTATAATATATTTTTAGTAAAATAATAGTATTTATAAATATATTACCAGGCTTAATAAGCTTTATTACCCGGGCTTTTAACTAGCCTATTCCTATTTTTTTTTTATAACTTACTTGCCAAGGGTTAGGGTATTTATGTATTAATAAGTTAAATAGGTAAAAAATACTTAAACTATATATTCTTGCTAATATTTAAGCTTTTTATTATAAAAAATTTAAAATTAAAAAGTATTAAAAAATAAATAAACTTACTATAGCGCTAAGGCTACTTTTTAAGCACTTTTTAGTGCTTTATACTTAATAATTTTATAAGGAATAATAGTAACCAGGTGTGTTTAGGTGGGCTTAGGTTAATTAATAATAAAAATAAAGGTTTTTAATACATGGCTAGGCTAGACTTTAATTACTAGGTTAATAAGAATAGGCTTAAGGCTATAAGCTATGCCTAGTTTATTAAGTATTATATAATAGTAGTTACCCTAGGGATTACTAGAATTTTTAGGTGGGTAATTATATTTTAATATTTTATAAATAATTAGTATACTTTAATATATATTTTTATTATATACTTAAGCTTTAATTTATTACACCCTAGCTACTTTTAATATTAAATAATAATTTAATTATTATGCTGGCTGTATATAACATGCTTTAAATATTTAAAAAAAAAAAGAAAGGCAGGGCATAAATAATTTTTTATAATATTTATATTTTATTAATTTATTAAGCTAATTTTTAAATTTAAATAAATCCTGTTTTACTTATCACGCAGCCCTTATATATATATTTTATTTTTTTATTATATATTTTACTACCTAAAATAAAACATAAATACTACCTAAATAATTTTTTAATAGCTTTTTATATACCCGGCATAGCACGCTAATATTAATAATAATATTTTATTATTTTTTAAAAGACTTAACTAGGTTTTAATAAAATAGGTGTTATTTAGTAGCCCTTTAATAACCTATATAATAAAAAACTAATACTAACTTAAAAGGGCCCCATGGTTAGCTAAATATTTTATTAAATAAATTATATTTAAGCCTTTTTTTTTAAATTTTTAATAAATAATTTTATAATATTAAGTAGTTATAAACTTGGGCTGGGCCCGGCGTATTATAAATAATATATTTTAGGTAAGGGTTAATATTATTAAATAATAATTATAAAATAGTGGTAGTGCGGTAAAAGTAAATATAAAAAATAAAAGTGCTAATAATATTATAAATAATAGCTAGAAGGATGGTTTAATTAGTAGGTAGGATAAGAGTAAAAAAAAGCCTAGTAAATTATTATAGTATAGCTATTTTATTATTAATATTAACTTATAGGGCGTAATAGCCAGTAAGGTTATTAATTTTATATAAGTATTATTTTTAGCTAATTAAACAAGGTTTTTAATGCTAATAATGCTTAATATAATAAATATAATTAATAGTATTTAGTAAGTTAAATTAAAGGTTATTTATAATAGTATTATAAGTATTTATATTAAGGTTAGTGGTACTTAAGGGACCAGCCGTGGCTCCCTAACCTTGGTAGTAATAAGCTATAATAAATAATAAAAAAAAATATAGTGTAAGAGGTTTGGTAGCTATATATACTAATATAAGTAAGTAAAAAAAATAGGTAGTATATTACTAGAATAAAAAGCTTTATAATTATTAAAAAGGTTAGTTTTCTAGGCTAGGGGTAAAATTATATATTACATAACTTAGCATGCTTAAGTTATTTTAGTAGCTACTAACTATAATTAAAATATATATTATACTATTATTATATTTTAAATATATAGGTTAAATTTAACTTTACCAGGCATAAATTCTAGTATTTTAATAGGTTTAGCGCTTGCTTAATATTTTTTTAATTAAGGCTATTATATATTAATATATAACTACCTCCTGGGATCTTAATAATAGCTAGTAATATAATAACCCCTTATTATTAG